CTCATCCAGCCAAAGTTCTCCACTTCGGCCTGAGTCATCGGCCACTTGGAAGCAGACCAAATGACGTGGTACTTAGCACAAAAAATTGATACATCAATAAAAATCGATTCATCAGTACTAATGCAAATAAAATTACACAACAACTAAACGCAACCTTAGTATCATTACTAACTCACAAGTCACAATTTGTTGAGCTAATTAGAAGACTTTCCATCAATGATCTTACAGTTAGAAGAGCGTGATAACTAGTATCTCTTTTAATGTTTTATGTTTTGCAATATCACCTTATATATTTAAGAGGCCTAGAATTTAGCATCTCAGCATTAATTTCTACATTTTACAGGCAAACCAATCATCCTGATCCCTCTAGTCTGTCATTTCAAAAGCAAAATTGGGCTTAACCTCAATGGTGAGTGTTGCTGCCAAAGATGGGGCTAAGGGCAATAAGGAAACTTTACTGGTGTATGAGGCCGAAGGGTTCGACTTGTAAATAGGAAAAGAGTGCACGTGAGAGGCCCCGGGTGTTATCCTAGGGGCGGAGACTCCAATAGTCAAATTAGCTAAGAACTTAGTCCTTAATAGCTAAGGATTATGATTCTGAATGCCAGAAAGTAAGTGCCTTTACCTTGAGATGATTACCCCCTTTTACATCTGACTTTGCCTTTGAGTGATTGGAGGCAATAGTTGGTGATGTGCGGCCAGGATTTAATTTAGCCGATTACCATGTGGCACAATTCAAGGCTTGCCAAGTATACCTACATCACTGTAGGATGACATGTGAAGCTTGATAGAAGCAGAGCTTAAGAGCAGCCTCCTATTGATCGCTTCAGCTAATCCAAACACCTTCGTTCCTTTCGACCCCAACGTTATGCAACACAATTCACCAAATAGTCCTCCATCCTTCTCTAGCTCACCATCACCATAATTGTTATGAAGGTCCTATTTGAAAATTTGAAGAATAATGAAGGGTAGATTGGTATATAGAATAGACGCTTCAATCTTTAAAAAACTTGGGGGTATTTAAGTCATTTTGCAAACAATAGGTATTTAAGTCATTTTTTTTTTACTTTTTACATTTACAAAGTTATTGACCTTTTTGACTGATTGAATCACGGGATGAAACATGCAAGCATCCTCTAATTGAAACCGGATTCAGTCAATGCAAGCCCTATTCGAACAGTCATTATAATCTTGTATTGGGAATATCTCCTCATGAAATAAAGTATAGAATTATGGAGATATTTCCAACTAGACCTGTTCATGGGCCGGGTCAAGCTGGGTTCGGGCCGAGCTTTACTCATCATTAATGGAAATACGTTAGGCCCGAGCTCGAGCTCGGCCCGACCAATGGACCTATAGCTTGGGCCTGAGCCCGGCCCTGATAAAAAACCCGAAGCCCGACCTAATAAAAAAAATTACAATTTTCTCTATTCAAATTAGAATTAAAAATTTAGATGTTTTTTTTTCCTATTTAAATGAACAATGGGCCTACAAGATGGTTTTTTTCCCTTTCTATTACGTTTTAAAACATAGTTTTACATTCTTAAATAAAAAAAATTATTCAAATGGACATAATCACATAACCCATTTTAAGTCTAATTTTAGGTCGGGCTGGGCCGAGCTCAGGCCGGGCTATTTTGACAAAACTCGAGCCCAGCTCGAATTTATTGCGGATTGGGCTTTTTGGCCCGAGTTCAAGCCCGTCGGGCCACTTGGCCCATGAAGAGGTCTATTCCCAACGTAAGGGTGTAAATACTATTTGAACGGTGTTCAAACGGAGCTTACACCGACTGAAGCCGATTTCCCTTCAATTGGCAAGTTTTAGTATTTTAAATAATAAATTTCCACCTGGCATTGCTTTTTTTTTGTGGGTTCAACCTCTGAACAGTCATGAGTGGTTCAACCTCTGAATCGAATGGGTAAATTCATGATATCATCATAAATTAAAAAAATGAAATAAAAATAAATACAATACAAAAAATATAAAAATTTATAAAGTTGCTTAAATAAAGTACTTTGCATCAAGCTTATGGTCAACCGGTCCAACCGTCTAGACCAAACCAAGCTTAGGGTCGGCTGATTGCAATGGCTCTTTAGTGTTTATAGGTCTGTACAATCAATGATCATGCCCCACGTGGACCCGCAACCATTCAATCTCTTTACTTGACATCTATGGCTGATGTGGAGTGTTATGATTGGGTAACGCAGCCTGCTTCACAGCCATCGCATTTAGGTAATCTGAATTAACACTTAATAGACCAGTGGCATTTTTAAAGTATGTGCTTATGTTTATGTTTATGTTTACTGCAAATGCAATAATTGCTGCTGTTTATGATAATTAGGCGCCATGGCACCTACGCTAATAAATGTCGTCATTTGTGACAGCTTAAAAAAATAACTTAATAGTGTAGTACTGTTAACACACGTGAAGCCCCCAGCGCCTTGCACTGACTGAAGCCGATCTCAGCCGTTTCCTATTAGTATTAGAAGTGCGGCCCCCGTTATACACAACAAACACATACAAATACAAAGAGTGGAGCCAGAGTGAAACAAGCGAGTGCAACTCAACCATACAGATCGTTGCAAATCTAATCCTAAGGTTTCCCTTTCCCTTTTTCTACCTCTAGATTTCTCTATTTCTCTCTCTAACAATCTCTGTAATCCGATAAATTTTGATTTTCTTTTTCATAACACAATAGTAGCAAACTTTGTTGTTGATTGCAGAAGACGGACACTTACATTTTTTAATTTCTTGTTAAGTTTCAATCATCGCATGGGATTTGTTTTTTTTTTTTTCAGATTGGGGCATTGCGGTGATCTAGGGTTTTGAGATCTTTTCTCGCTGCATGCTTTTCTAGAGAGTGATAATGGCGACTCCGGTAACTGCTGTTCAGGTGATTGTGATTCAATGGATAGCTAATAACAAAATCTTTTTTTATTCATCTATCAAAAAAGATCTTTTTTTTTCCTGTGCTGTCCCCCTCCCTTTTATTGGCGGCTAATCATTCAATGTCTGTTGTTGCAGGTTGGTTCGTACTTTGTTGGGCAGTACTATCAGGTTATCCAACAACAACCAGATTTTGTTCATCAGTTCTATACAGATTTGAGTACAATGCTTCGCGTTGATGGGAATAGGACCGAGTCAGCCTCGGCAATGCTGGTAGTATTCGCGAAATTTGCTTTTTTCAAAGTCTTGTTTCTATTCGCCATGAACTCTTTGAATCACCTTTAACTGGATAATTTTCACGCCTAGAATAATTGGGAACTACGATTCGTGCCTAGAAATATTGTTTTTATCGCTCTAGTTTTGCTGTTATCAATAAACTTGTAATTCTGTTAGTCTAGTCTATTGGAAAAAAGTGCTGTTGGTGTTGTTTCCCATGGATCTGAATGGCAGTTATTTAATAATTATCAGATGTCTACTTACACGTCCATATGACAATGTCTAGTATTCTGTAAGGGCTCATTTGCTTGGTGTAATGGTTAAATCATGGGATGGCAAGTGTGAGAATGTTGGTTTGTGTCTGAGAGCGGCCAATTTGTGCAAAAATTACCAAGGTTAGGACCGTTAGGTTTGTGTTCATCCTTCCCGAGATCCCAGGTAGTTGGTACTAACATTGGATAATGGCCTCTTTTTGTCTCACTCACACGTTACTTGGCATTGACATTGAAATTGGATTGGATGATTAATTATCTTGTACGAGTTCCCAAGAGCTAATGCGTATCAGGGTTGTTACCATGGAGTAAATTTCAGTGCTGTGGTTGTGTCATGCTCTTCATATTGAATTACATAAAAATTTCTATAGAGGCTTTGTATTTGCACATTCAATTTACTTGTAGCCAAGGTCTTAAGGTCTTGAATTTAACTATTTAGGTCTCATTAATGGGACAATTGGTCGGAACCTTCTTTTTGATTGGGCCTTCTGTGCTTTTTTTTTCCCTTGTTTGCCTTGTGCAATTTATCCGTTTTTGTTCAGTACAAGTGACATGGGACAAAGAAAAACTTAGGTCTTTTGGGCATAAAAAAGCACCAAATAATTTACCACAGAGTAAATTTTAGTGCTGCAGTTGTGGCATACTTTTCATATTGTATTACATAGAAATTTCTATATAGGCTTTTATTTGCACACTCATTTTACTTGTAGCCAAGATCTTTAAGGCATTTAGTATTTTTTGATATTAAGTAAAAAAGAAAATTTATTAAGGAGGCATCATCCACAAGAAAGAAAGCCATAATTCCCTCCCGTATCCCCCCCCTCCCAACTAACAAGAACTAGCCCATACACACCTACACTATTTCTATCAGCCTCCCTAAAATTACCCATTCAATCATCATCTTGCACCCAAGCCTCTTTACTTCTCTTGCTAACTTTATTTCTTTTGTTCACCTTCTTAGTGGGCCAAACCTCAAATGACCCCATCATCATCCAGGCAAACACCTTTGACACCTGAACAGGTTGATGGTTTCTCTGATTTTTGAGTCGTCTCATTGCATTTGAAATTATCTCAACCTTAGATTTCATTGAGCTAGCAGCCTAGCATTAATCCGTTCCCACCCCAAAATTGCATTCTTCTAAAAAATTGATCTTCTACAACCTCACCACCTTTTCCATTACCCTCAGCTTCAGATGAATTCTGTCTATTTTGAGCATCAACACCCTTTGCAGTACAGCAGTCCCCCTTAGAATCCATGCTAACAATCTATCATTTCTTTAAAGGTCTGCTGAATTTTCCTTCCAATTCCTCAAAAGATTTTCTAGCAATTTCCTGCCCTCCAATGAAGAACTCCTAAAGGTTTACTCACATCCACCTCTGTATTCACCATTGTTTCCAAGTTGATTGAGTTTTCAACTTCATTGTTTTCATTAATGGCCACATCTTCTTCCGAAGACTCACTGAAATTATCTTCATCAAATCTACCCTCACTGTTTCCATCTTAATATTCTCTCTCCCCCATTTGTTAATGGTTAGGTTCTGTACTTTTTTTTTCTTGTGCATTTTAATTTCTAGTTCCTTATCGCCCTTAAACCAAATTTTTAAATCCCCTGCCAGAGTATATATCCCTGATTATTTCCTTGCTCCATCCTCAACTTTATCTCCCACCCCACCAATCACGAAAGCCTCCTTTGGATAATCTTCAGAACACTTAAACCTCAACTTCCTTTCAGCACTGTTTTATTGTAAATTTCCTTGAGGGATGAAATTACTAGATTCCACTTGAACTTTGTTATCTATCTTCATCATATTGTAAATCGGCTCCTCATCTCTAACCAACACTATAGTTGCACCCTCATGCACAGAAGAATCTGCTGCTAAATACTCCTTATTTTGACCTTGAGAAGAAATTCCCTCTTTTCCTTTTTATCCTTTCCACCTGTGAAGGTTTTCCTTCTAAAGATTTCTTAAAACCCATGCCTTTTTTCCTTGCAATCCTCATCATAAGCCACCCCTTTGTAGAATCCTAAAACCTTTACTTAAGCATTGCTTTTGGATTTCAGAACCTTTAGAACTTTTTGAGTGACCTTGCTAGATTGCCGACCATGCCTTCACTCTTGGATCTTCTATCCAATAGATTTGTATTCACAAGTCCAGTCTAGTTGAAATCCAGTGACGGTTGTGGTGGAGATGGAAGGCTTTTACAAATCCTATATGTTGAGGAGCGGCTGAATGAGCCAATGATATATCGGAACCACCATTTGTAAGCTCTCTCAACCCATTCACACAACATTTTAGGGGATCATGTGCCCTCTGACCTAACCTGGCCAAACAGTTTTCCTATTTCGACTCACTTAAATCGGTTCACCTCACATCACCACTCCTTTTATATAGCTCAAACACCTGTCTACTTGGGCCTTTCTCAAGCCTCCTCGTGTCCCCACACATGCCTCCTTCTCCTTGCTCTATATTACCAGCTGCACCAGCAAAAACGATTTGGGCATTTAAATCCTTTTGGCATGCTGAAAACATCAATGGCATTTAGGGCACCTGGTGTTTCAGCGCTTCCATTGGTCAGCACCTGCACAAGGGGCCTGAACGCTTCAATACCATTTAAGGTCTCAAATTCGACCATGTAGGTGTCATTAATGGGACAATTGATTGGGGTGTTCTTTATTGGGCCTTTTGTACTTTTTCTCTTCTTTCTTTGCCTTGTACCACTTACCCGCTTGTGTTCAGTAGAAGTGGCATGGGACAAAAAAATTTTGGTCTTTTGTGCATAAAAACACCAAATAATTTTTATTTTTTATTAAAATGACATTCTTTTTAATACCACTAAAAGGCAAATATATACCTGAAATTTGTTTAGTAAACAATGTGACCTTTTGTTTTTCTATTGTTTTCATATATTTATAATTTTTCTATATTTCCTTAGTATATAATGTACACATTTACCTAATGCTAAGTACAGTCACATCTTTCTCATCAGAAACCTAAATTAGAAGTTAGAACTAGGTTTAATTCTCTAGGAAACAATAAGAATTTCATTAGATTAGAACTCTATCTTTATAGCTATGCTATCTCATTACTAAACAAAACATAACAGTGGTGAGTGGCTATTACACATAACATTAAATGTGGCTATATTATTATCTCATCATGATCTAAATTGTGGATTTATTTGACTCAGGTGTTATTTGGTTGGTTACATGAATCCTGTTTTGTCATTCCATTCTGTTTAAATACCATATCCATTGTTAGATTATGAATGCTTCAATCATTTGTTACTAGTTTGGTCCATGACCTTTTTGGTCATCCCTAGTGATTCTAGCCCCTTCAACAGGGAACAGATCACTTCTTATGGGTGCTGTTGATGGTCTTTCTATGCACGTTACCAAGCCATCTTAGCCTACTTTCTCTTATTTTATCACCCCTTTTTGGAGCTATCCTTCCAATGACTTCGTATATTGGGAATTTGGGATATATGAAAACCTTTTACTGTATAGTATATGTAAGGAACTTTATGCCACTGATTATAAAGCATTTTTAGTACTTGATTGTAAAGCAATTGATAATCCTTTTGTTTGGATATTTTGAATATCATGTTTGCTGACAATTCTTTTGTGTGGATGTTGTGGATATAATGGTTGCAGCTGAGTTGATCAATCTGCTAATTGGTGAATTATATATATATATATCTGATAATCAAGTGGTGAATTATATATTCAAATCTTAGTTATCCATTTCATGTTAAAAATTTATCCTGTTCTTATGATCAGATTCAGCATTCAACTGGCATTAATGCTCATTAATTAGGGAAAAAGTTGTCATCTGTTGATGATACCACACAACAATGAACCTCTCCTTATAAATAAGATTATTAAATCTAAAGGAAGGTTTTTCTGCCCACACTAGTCAGCCTACACTGACCAGAATGGCTCTCCGTGTAGTACATTAGTAGAATGATCCCTCTTTAATAGAAGAGAAAAACAAAGAGTTCAAATAAAAAATGTTAAATCTTAAAAATATGTGAAAAAACAAAAATAGTTTTTATTTAGAACTCCTAACCCACTTGATATTATCTATTATCTCTCACCTCTGGTCTTTCTTGACTCTCTTACAATCATATAACAAGTTGCTGCTGGGTATCTCACAAGTGTTTTTCTCAAGTGTGTGGAAAATTCATAGTTTTGGTTAATATCATTTTGATTTGTTGTTAGTTGTAATGTGCTCTTAATTCTTAAAGAAAAAGTGAAGAATTTAGTTCACCAAAGTGAATAAACAAAGGATGTATTTATTATAATAGACAAAAAAAGGATGTATTTATTATATCATCATGTTGACCTGAAAACGAATAATGACATGCCTTTTTTATTTACTCAATCCCACAAACATCAACCTAACCCATAATTCTGCCCCTCACTTCACCTAATCCCAGTAAGTTAAAAGAAAACAAAACGAAAAGAAATGACTTCTCTTATTTTATTCACTACTTCAAGAGAGTGAGGAGAGAAAGGAGAGATAGGAAGAGGAAGGTTCCAGAAATGGATAGAGCAAAGGGTGATCAATCCTAAGACCACAGAAGGGCTGGGGATAGGGCCTTCTTACCATTATTCCAGGAAGACATATTTGCAACTGACACTGATAAGTTCACCACCCTTGAAGGCTAGCATGATTGCCTTGGAGAGTCTAATTTGCACATTTTTTGAAGGGTATGATATGAAGGATGTAGCTCAATGAATGAGTGCAGTTTGATAAATTGATTAAGAGCAGAAGTGGCTCTTAAGTGATGGAAACTCAATTATGCAGACTGCTGAAGGCTTACACATATTTTTATGATAAGGACTCTGAAGAGAGAGGCATGGACAGGTTGCCCATCTTCAGCAAACATGGCTTGTAAAGGCCACCTCAAGATGGTTTGCTTCAATTTGGTCCCAAAAACATTGAAATCCTGTTTCCCATACGGAAACCAATACTGTAGATCTTTATCTTACCACCCTTAAATGAAAAGGAATTTTTTTAAAAATATAGTTTCTTTCTTTTAAACTCTTTGTTTTTTTCTTCTATTACTAATTACTGTAAATAGTGGATTCTATGCTAATGTGTTGTGTGGAGAGCCATTCTGGGCAGTATATGCTGATCGGTGTAGACAGCAAACATTTTCCATAATATCTCCAAGTAAGTAGATTTATAGATGCCTTCAACAGCTTTTAGCAAGATTATGGCATCAGGTTATTTTTGGTAAGCAGGAAAAGATTCGTTTTCGTTTCATTTTTAGTTTTGTTTGTATATGTTCTGTACTGTTAGGATGTCTTCAAAGATGTTGCATATGATGATGATCTGTATATTCTTCAATTTTCCAATTTTATTCACCCCTTCTAGGATTTTTTTTTCCCTTTTTCTAGATTTCTTATGATAAGAAGGATCAAATGGTGGTGTCAAGAGTCCAAACTTTCTCAACTGTATTACTTATATTGCATGGACAATTAATAAAGTTTTGGAATCCTTCTTTGTTTTTGCAGCAAATCCATTCACTTATCATGTCACTTCATTTTACTGGAATTGAGATTAAGACAGCACATTCTCTGGATTCTTGGAATGGAGGTGTTATTGTGATGGTCTCAGGCTTGGTGCAAAGTAAGGATTTTAAAGGCAAGAGGAAATTTGTGCAGACTTTTTTCCTTGCTCCTCAGGAGAAAGGGTACTTTGTCCTCAATGATATCTTTCACTTCCTTGATGAGGAACTGGTCCACCAGCATCCAGAAGCTCTATTAGCACAGGATAATTTTGAATCCACAGCAAATGTATCTACTTCCCATCCTGAGCCAGGTACTATATGTGTAAATTCCTAGAATTATGATTCTTTTAGATAGCTATAGATGGAGCTTTTGAGAAGGGGTGTGGTGAAAATGTCAACAGTTGTGACTGAGCTTTAGAATATAATGATGTCTATGGTTGACCATAAATACATGGAGCCATATGATCTGTGCATGCTTTAGCAATATGGTTTGTCTATATCAATTTGACATGTGTTCTCCTCTCAAAAAGCTACACAGAGTTGTGCAAATCTAAACTGTCAATTAGATGGGACTTGGGAGCACTCCAGAGTGGTTATATGTTTAGTGCCATCCATATTTTCTATATTTTCCTTTCTATTGCACTCTTTATAATAGATCCAGTTTTTGTAAATTTGAACATTTTATTTGAAAATTTGTCTAGAAGCGACAGAGTTTTGTTTTCCAAGTGGTGGTGGGCCAATAGGATGAAACTTGTTACATGAAGAGAGTGTGATGTTGTAAATATGTAGAACTTTTAGGCTGCTATCTAGTCTGCCACATAGGATTTCTAGGTTATGATCTCCCTGCTTGGAGGCCTTCTCTGAAAGACCCCTGTCCTGTAATTTTGTGCTTTTATATTTCTCATAGAGTTTACAAATCAGAGTGGTTCTTGTTATTATGACTTTGGTTCTGGTTGATAACAGCTCTAGATGCTAAATTTAACGACATTGTTTTGCCTTTTAGGTGGATAAAGTAGTCATATAATAATATACTTGGGGGTATAGTATGATATAATAATATATTTAGTGGTATATTAATCAATTCAACATGTCATTTAGTTCAGCCACTTGAGCTGTTATCAAATGGCTCCAAATGATTTGCCATTGTACTATAGTATATAAAGTTGAAAAATGCGTTTAGGTGTACTTAACTACTGTGCAATCTAATTCTTATTTCTGAAATTTTGCCATTATACTATATGGTATATACATCATTTTGTAATTACTTTGCATTGATTTTGTGACTATGGTGAAAATCTCTTCAGCTGTTTCAGACTACATGTTGGGGGATGAAATTCAGGCCATAGAATTTGTGTCATCAGCTCATGTGGAAGAAAATGAACCCACAGACAATTATAATATCGAAGAGGAACAGCAGCAACAAGTATTGGGGGCAGAAAACCGAGAAGAGGAAACTCCTGTAGTAGAAGAGCCAACTGCTTTTCAGGGTACAATGAACCCTGTGCGAGAACCTCCTACTGCTCCTGTTGAGGAACCTGTTGGAGAACCCCCTAAGCAAACTTATGCTTCTATTGTATGCACCATTTTTACCACTGCTACTTAAATTATGAGTCTGTGTAGTTTTTTAGAATTACTTTCCTCCCTTGGCATTTGGTTTTAACATTTTGATGCTCAAATATTGTTCTTGGGAAGCTACGGGTTGCTAGAGGGCAATCTGCATCATCTATTGCTCCTCAGCCATCTGTGAACAAGAGCACACAACCTACAGAGCGGCTTCATACACCACAGCCTACTCCTCAGCAGTCATGTACTGCATCATCTATTGTTCCTGAAAAATCTGTTGCAGAGGTGGCAGAAGAAGTTACAATGTTGGAAGAAGGTTAGATATCCTGCCCATTGAATGCTTTGCTTATTTGGTAGCATGGTTGAAAGACTTGATAAGTCCTAAATGACTATAGTATTTTTTTGGAAACAACTGAATTTTATTTTTCATTTAAACTTGTTAGGAAGTGTCTTGTATCTAAAATGTGAGAGTTAGTGTTGCCTCATTTAGCAAGTATTGAAACTGTACACCATTACCCTCCTTTCCCTATATCTAGTGTTTGTATCATAACTAATCTATGAAATGTGTTCTTTTAGGCTATCTTTGGTTTGGAAGAAAATAAAGGAGAAACATAAAGTTGAGGGAAAGTTCTTAAGGAATTTTGTGAACTCCGTAAAGAAAAACTTCCTGCAATTTCTTGTTTCTCTCTTATTTTCTATCAAGCCAAACACAGCTTTAAGGGCAAACTGTATTGTGGTAGTTTGTATTTCAAGTGGTTTATTTATTTACTTTATTTATGATGAGTTACAATCAAGGGATTTATTGAATTATTTATGATCACTACTCAGAGTAAGCCAATCCTGACCTACCATTTCATATGGTTTATTAAGGTCTAGAAAGTTTTGCAACCAAACTTTTTATTATTGTGTAGTAATTGTGGTCAGAGTAAGCCAATCCGACCTACCATTTCATGTGGTTTATTAAGGTCTAGAAAGTTTGCAACCAGACTTTTTATTATTGTTGTGTAGTAATGGTGGCTAGGCAAAGCCTAGCAGCCTAGGTGTTTTGGCCTGTCAAGGCAAGCTTGTTTCCTAGGCAAGAAAAACGCAAAAAAAATACATTTTTAAATATATATTGTATAACACATGGATATTATGTAGTTACATGTTAGTGCTCATAAAAAGAATGTGGTTACATGTTATTTGTGAACTTTTAAACCACAAATTAAATTAGTGCATGGTTAAGGCATGCATACACTTGGACTTTCAAAAACATATGACAAGGTTTTTGAATAGCCTCCTTGGTTTAAAGGAAAAAACACATAGGCAGAGAGAATGGAATCCATAATTTTTGGCTTTACATGCACTTCTGTCAACTCAAAGTGGTTTAAATACATTCATTATCAATATACAATTTGGACATAATTAGTTATTAACCCTACTAAGATGTTAATATCAATTTTACTGCCCTAATTGGTTGCCTAGGTGAGGAGCCTCTGAAACACATTGGTGGTCTCCTTGTTAATGCCTAAGCAATGCTTTAAATATAGAGTGTTAAGCTGTTTAGAGTTTTGGAAGTTGGTTATCCTATTTTAGAGCAGTGTGTTGGGCAGTCAAGAACCATGCCTGTATTCCGTAATGTGTGGCAGAGATGTAAATACTGAGATGGATGAATGGTAAAAAGAGATATTATAGGATTTGAAATGAACACATTCATTTAGAGTAGCCCTAATAGGTGGTAAAATGAACATAGATTAAGTTGGTTTGATCATGTGGACCAGCTACAGCTCCATCCATTAAAAAGTGATCTTTGCAAGTTAAAGTGTCTAGAGGAGTTGGCCAGAAAAGAAACTGGCTGAAGTAAAACAAACTGGTTTGAGGCGATCCGATATGATTGGAAAGAGTCTTATCAAAAAATAAAAAGGCAATTGGGACTTGGGACAGGTGGGGTCGCAGTATTGGAGTCATGAACCCAATCCCGTGGTTGGGACGGGGCTTTTGTGAGTTGAGTTGGCTATTCTGGTAAGGAGTGTTCTCCTGTGTGATTTGTCATTTTTGTTGTAGTTCCAAAAACAAATCAAAAGCACCTGGTTCGAAAACATGGTCTTAGTCATATATGTGTTTTTCCCCCAAAATTGAAACAAAAAATGTCTACTTGAATTTCTGGCTTGAAAAACATGTTTTCATCTGATGATCCATTATCATGTTTCATAAACCATATAATATCTGCACTCTTAATTTTGTTTTTGTTTTTAAACCATCATGTTGATGGTTTCAAAAACATCTTGTTTTTGTTTCTCAAAATAAAAAATGGTTCAAGAATGTTTTTCAATTTTTTTGCTGATGTGGTGGTTTCAAAAACAGACAGATAAATACAAGACTGTTCATGTTGTAGAACATCACATTAGTTTTTTCTCCTTGTATATATGCTTTTTCATGGAACTTGGTTTCTATACTTCGTTCAGGAATGATTGTCTTTTAGAAGTTCATATTTGTTTGTTTGTTATTTTCAAATAACAGTTATATTTACTCGTGTTGAGAACAGAACATCGTATTGATTCTTGTTCGTCTATCAAGAAAATTCTCAGGTGAATCAAGATCTGTGTATGTGAGAAACTTGCCCCCTACTGTTTCTGTTTCTGATATTGAGCAGGAGTTTAAAAACTTTGGTAGAATCAAGCCTGAAGGTGTGGTCATCAGGCATCGGAAGGTTTGTATTACTTGCTAACCTTGTGACCTTTTTATTGAATACTGTCATGTGTACACTGAGAGAAGATAAACTAAGATTTACCATCTAAACGCTTCCCATTGAATGTACAGGATGTTGGCATTTGCTATGCTTTTGTTGAATTTGAAGATGCCATTGGTGTTCAAAATGCAATTCAGGTTTGAAGTTTCAGTATGAATTTCTTCTCTCTTTTGTTCTTAAAGTTTACTGTAGGAGTTTCAATTGTTGGCAAATAGCTTCCTTGTTTCTGAAAGTCAGTGACTGAATAGCCTGAGGTGAAGGAGAGAAGATCAAAAAAGAGATAACTGACTACCTGAGATTGCTCTTGGCCTTTGTGTCTGTGGTGGGGCATTTGAATTGCATACTGGAATGTGATTGGATTGTAGAGCCATTTAGAGCTTAAAATTTAATATTGGGAGTTTCCAGGTCATTCAGATGAATTTTGCCAAAATCTTTTTTCATAATTTTAGAATCAGGCCATAGACGGATTCTGTTGTCAGGCTATATATGCTAGAGTTGGATGATTCTAGCATCCATTTTTAGTACCCAAACCAAACACCTGATTTTTGCTAGAATTTAATTTTGCACAGAATTCCGAATTATATTTTTCCTTTTTTGCTCTTTATTTACTTTGTAGAACATATTTATTATTTTTTTTGTGTTATTTATGATCTATAAAGCTTTCTGCCCCATCATATTGGCCTACCTACCTTTAAATGCTCTTGTTGCCTCCCTAGAATTCTAATTTGTTCTCAAACTCCGAGTTCTTAATTTTTGGTAGCATCAATTTTGGCACTAAATAGAATGGAATGGCAAAACAGGATTCGTGTTGACCCCATATAGTTGGGACAACGTTTGGATGATCAATTTTAGTTTTTCTAGCCGTTGCTTATCAAACAAGTCTTTTATATGTTTGCACCTTCCACAGTGGAGATTTTTTACATGATGACTCGTTGAGTTCTAGATTTATCTATGTTTTTCTGATTGTTTCTTTAATCATCTATAGGCATCTCCAATACAATTGAGTGGGCGGCAAGTGCACATTGAGGAGCGGAGAGCAAATGGTCCTGGTGGAACTGTAGGGGGAAGTACGTGCCCAATTCTTTCCTGATTATAAATGACAATTATGAAACATAAATTTCCAAGCATCTAGATTGACCATTCTTATATTTTCATCTATTGTCTTCCAGCTTTTGGTTCTTTCTTTCTCTTTGCATTGTTTCTTTGTTCACAATGCATTCTTTAATCTGAACCAGAAAGGGAGATACAGTGAGTTGCTGTACTCTTTATCAGTTATTGATAGATGCAGCTCCTTAAAGGCCTTGAAATTGGCCTTGCATGGGATTTAGTTAATGTCATCCTTGGTCATGTGTTTGAGCCCGAATAATAATGTTGGGGTTGATTAATGTCCCTTTCCATCTGTTTGAGCCCCTACCTGCTGCTCCTTTGGCGCTCGTTTGCAGTGCTAATCTGAACCAGAAACAAATTTAGTACCTGGTTCAGTTGTGTATCTTTTTGTAACTTGTACTTTTGTCTCATTTACACACTGGCAGTGCAAAGTTTGCATTCCAAAAACTGATGGAAAATTTGCTCCACCTTCCTCCTATTATCAGTTCTCTTTTACATGTGGAGTTACCACATCGTTTAACTTTCTATTTTGTATCTCAGTTCTCAAAAACAAATAAAACAAAGTCAAATCTGAGGCAAAAGTAAACTGAAATTTACACTCGGCCTTTGGTAAGATAGTACGTCAATAGGCATAGTGACCTACAATATTACCAGCCAGGGGTAGCTTGGATTAGTTCTGCATATGATCAAATTATCACTGATTGTCAATTTGGAGATGCACTGAATGTTATGCTTGTTTCATTAAACAATTGGTTCAAAATTTCCCCATCAACAAATTTATCTCTGTGTTTGCAATGCACTTTACTGAATAATTCTTGTTCTCCCTGTCCAAAAGCTTTCTGCTGATTTTGTGATTTCTTTTGAGTAGGGAGGAGTAGTAGAGGCAGGGGCAGCTATCAGAGAGATGCTCCAAGGGGGCGTTTTGGCGGTCGGGGTTTTGGCAGGGGAAGCAGCCAGGATGGTGGTGAGAGGGGGGACTACAACAGCAAACCAAGGGGTAATGGTTTCTATCAGCGAGGTGCACGACAAGACAGAGGAATCTTGGGAAATCAAGTATCAAGAAATGGGCAGAACCCGTCAGAGGTCACATTCTAGGCTTCTAACACAGGGAGAGAGATGTAACTTTTTAGTTTAGTTAATCTTCAATTCAGGTGCATTTCCTTATTTTGGGGTGTTGGGTAAGAAGCACCCCTGTTTTTTTGGGGTGTGGGCATCATCATATTTTATCCTTTCTATTCTTGTTATATGATTTTCTTATTTTAACTTCTGATTTAAGAGAAAATGATTTTTACAAGAATTGAGTAATAGTTTTGTGTCGTCGTTGGGTTATTGGGTAGTTGCTTGTTAGCTTTGGATATTCGTGTTCTCATAATCAGTTAGAGACACATTTTGGATTTTGGATTTTGGATTTTTGTTTTTCTTTTTTTGTCTTTTTATGCGGGAAAATATTATTAATATAAAGTCAGCGGATTATGGATGGTTCTCCAAGCTAAATAGTTGGTTAGGCTTCGGTTGAGCTTGCTTTTGTGGCATTGAAAGGGGGCTATGTTGATGAGGTTTTCTTCTGAGCCATTTGTGGCATTTTTTTGGTATGTTTAAAACTTTGGCTGCAGCAACAGAAACCTATCCTGAATTTGGGGCATGTGAGAGTTGCATTATACCACTATTTAGTAGTAGTGGCTTTTTATAACCTTCTTACACAATTAGGTATTGGAATTGTTTTGCATGTATTTGTAACCGTGGGTATTTATTGAATAAACGCTGTCACATAGGTGTCATTTTAGCATTTCTCTCATTATGTGAATATGTACATATGGGACTTTGTAAAAGTAGACTTTCGGTTTGTATGTGTCTACCGTTGGAGGAAATTTCATTTTAGTGCTTCCCCTAATGGATAGGCGTTTATTTACTGTTTTGCTGATGTGAAATCTAAAGTTCAAAATATCGATATGCCCGATACGCCGGTAGGGGCGTATCAAGCGAACCGATACACATTTTGGTAGCTTTATTTTATTTTATTTTTTTCGCAATCGGTTCAGGGGGCTGGTTTAGGTCTCCTCTACCCCCCGAATTAGTCAGACCTCTGATACACTCACTGTAGGGGTGTATCGGAGGGGTTTCGGAATGATACGTATTGGTCTATATGTGTYAATTTTTTGAACTTTGGTGGCGTCTAATGATGCCTAAGTGTTAATAAACGGGTTTATCATTACTTTTCTCGGTTTTTCAAATAAATCAAACACAAAATGTTTAGCCAATAAACGTCCACCGTTCCAAACAAACTGTCCAAACATTTAGCAAGTTTATAGTAACGGTTCATTGTGTAATGAATTTTCAGAAATCAATTTCAGGATACATGGTATGGTAATGTATTTGAAAAATTCATGTAAGTTTCGCAAGTGCATCATTAACACTAATTCAAAGTTCATGCAAGAGTTTTGACCAATGAAAACCCACTCTGGTCAGAAGTTTTTCAGGTATTATGTTCTTTTGATATCATACTCGAATTTTACTCTTAGTGTGTAGCGGGGAAATTCTTACATCCCGCGTGAGAAATTTTGTCCATATGCATGAGTGGGTATACAGTTACGACCAGTGTTCTAAAAACCATTCCGGAGGCCGGACTGTTTTTGCCTCGGGGTCTTCAGTTTACAGGTCTAATGAGAGACCAGTGTTCTAAAAACCGTTCGAATGATTAACTGCCCGGGTCAGTGGTTTACTGACCAAAATCAACGGTTTTTATGAAAAATCCGGTTTTGAGGAAAACTAGAATCGGTCAGCTGACTGGTTCTTGGTTTTTTTGGTCCGACTGTTCGGTCTGATTTTGAAAAGCATGGTTTGAATGGTTAAATCGGCTAGGTCAATGGCGGATTGAAAACACTGGAATTTCCGACTGGGTTGATAAATTTATCAATGTTTCATAAATATCTTTTTTTTTTTTTTTTTATGAAAGAATTGACTGAAATAAAATTGGCTCATAGCCAACCTACTATTTGGATTGAACTGAGTTAACTGATGGAAGGTCGCATGCTATTTGATTCATAGGCATAAATCATAACCACTTTCTCGCAAATTTTGCACCGATAATTCATTTCAATGCTGTAACGTTTGGGGTTTATAGGGCAACTGGCAATATAGCTAATTTAAAAAATTCAGTACAGAACAATTTTATTATTGGYTTCCCAATAAACTTTTATACATTCTTCTTGTAAGATACAAGTTGGTAAAGATCCAACATCAACCAGATCACTGATCTAGCACGCTTTCATAAGCAGTAGAGTAACTAATGGTGAATTATTTCAAGTAATTGCACTTAGGATTTGATCATGTTTTCATGATCATATCATAATTCATATTCATTAACACCAAGTGAAATTACAGATGATCCTTCTTGTAGAGAAGCAACTTTGGCATGGATTCCACTGTCAACACTGCGATGCGATTTTCATTTAAATGAAACATTGATAATTGATAATTATCCCTCCTTCTAGCTGTTGTCCATTAAGCACTTGCTGATGCCACATGATAAGCTGAAACTCCGGCAGGATCCTGTGATAAGCCATGTTCTCCCTCATTGTCCTCTGTTTCCCATAGAAAACTCGCATAGGCTGCAAGTACATGGCTGCATCAACACACAGATTTTCCAAATTCAGAGACATTTGATTTAATGCCAGCAAACCGGTACTTTGGTAGTAAATAGTAAGATAATAAATATACACAGAGAGTCAGAGAGACACAGATTAGAGGAACACAACACACACCTATCCTCAGGTGATGCTTGAACTGCCCGTTCGAAGTAGTTTGCACTTCTTTCATGGTCGTGATAGAGCTCCCACACCAGTTTTGCATACTGTGACAATATTTCACCGTCCCTGGGATCCGCTAGCATAGCTCGCGAGTAGTACTCCTCTGCTCCTCGAAGGTCTCCCTTGGACTGGTAATCAACAAACAAATCTGTTCAACATATTATTCGCTATTTTATTTTTTTATTTTTTTGTATCAGAGTATTGATCTTAGTTCAGTTATTTTGGTCCACAAATCGGACTCTGTCGATGAAGATGAAAATGGAAAGGAATCTGAAATGAATGAATGGATGAACTTACCTGATGCAGGAACTGCGCATAATTCCTTAGGAACAAAGGGTTGCTTGGGTTTTCCTCAACCATTTTCTTATAATGCTCCTCCACGTCTGATCCATCTCGGCCGCCTTCACCAAAGTCCGACTGGCCACCGCTACCACCACCTCCACCACCACCACCTCCTCCTCCTCCTCCGCCACTACCACCACCAAGTCCACACATACCAATTCCAATTCCTCTAGCAAGATAGAGTGGTGGACTAGCTGTCTCTGTTTCTGCTGCAAGACCCAAATCAACCTCCTCCTCCACAATCAAACCCATGTTGTTAATCTTCTCATAAGTGAACTCGCCGCTTCCCAGGGCAGCAGAAATTCTGTCTCCGATCGTAACAGACCTCTCCAAGAACCAATCTCCTTCACCCAGTTCTTTAACCTCTGCTTGCTCTTTTTGTTGGTTGTCGTCGTCGTCGTCTTCATCTTCTTTCCTACCTCTCGAATTATAAAACGAGAAACTCGGAATCGTCTCCAACATTGGCATACTGGGTCTCCGTGAGGGTTTCGTCGGTAGGTTAGAGTACTGGAACTCGTCGATATCGCAGGAAGCCGCGGCCAGTCCTGCTAGGTTCCCGTCCGACTGGACCCTTCTGAAGCCGCTTGAGCCACTGCTGTTCGACCCTTTGTCGAAGTCGGTAAAACCCATGATAGAGTAAGAGATAGGAGATGAGGTACAGGAGAATGAGCTGAAACTGGGATACCCACCGTGCGAAAACGAGATTTTCTTGAGATGGTAGTCAGAGCTCGAAGGGTGCTTGTTGTTTTCCAAGTCTTTGTTAGGACTCTCAGAAAAAGACGGGAGTAGAGAGCCAAGAATTGGGGTTGAAGAGCTTCTAAGCAACATTTCTGAAGCTTTAATGGATTCTCACTCTGCTTACTTGCTTAGCTCTGAAGAGAAGTGGTCCTTGAGATTCTCCGGAGAAAGGATTGAAGGAACAGTAAAGATTAAACAAAGTGCAGAGATCCCTTTTTCCTGCCAACCACACAAATACGGACCGCTTATCAACGTGGCTTTTCCTGCAATCACATCAAGAGTTCAGGTGGTGCAAATGCCTATCAATCTGAACCATCAGATTCATGGGTTTTTAGCCAAATCTTTATCGTTATATGGTTATAATCATAATGGACAGTCTGTGATGAGGTGAGACAGGATAAAACAATGGGATTAGTTACAGAGTGTCTTATGTGGAAATATCTGAAGAATATTTATGAAAAGATACCAAAAGGTGCGAGCGTAGGTAGGGTAAAGCTTACGTGGACCATGCATGTGCTTCCTGAAAATTCTCCAGTCAAGAGCTGAATCATAGAAGGAAAAAGAAAGGAGGTTGTGGTCAAGCTGGGCCGGAGTCAGAAACGGTCTGACGGCCCGGATTGGTCCAAGGATGGCCACTTGGACAAGGATTTGTGAATTGGGGTTTCTTTTTACACGTGGCAAATAGAAGGCATGGAATGTAAGTTACTGCTGCTGACAAACCATTTTTTGTCAGCTGGCTCAGCTTAGTATAATTTCTCTCAAAAGTGCTTAATCTGAAGGGTTTGTGCCCAAAATCCAAATCATTATCTTTGTGGTCTATAAGCATCTATTAATTACCTTGATCTACAATGCCTAAGTGATCTGACCTTGTCCTCATTATTCTATGATAGAAATACACTAATTGTTATTCAATAACAAGAAAACCCACAGAAAGTTTTCAAGAGTTTTGCTCATGTAGTTATTTGCCAAATGAATGACAGAGGTCCAAAGGCTATTCCATTTCTGCAAAACACATATGAAGGCTTCTAATAATCAGAGACCCTTATAGGGTTAATTAGGCTAACTAACAATTAAAGCTATCACTCTGAAGAAAGAAAATCGATTGTTCATGCATATTCAGGAAGAATTTAACCACCAAACTGGGTATGGAATTGGAAAATGTTGCTGCTTCTCTGCCTACATGATATCAAAATACATACATACAGACAGAGAATCACCCATCAATCAATGGCTTGTGAGACCCTATCTGGAGACCGAAGAGGACAAGAAACTGTATTGGTTAAAACTTAATAAATAAAAAAACCTCCTTCTGGTAATTGGCATCTATCTACATTTTCATAAATGAAGAACGATAATAGAAGAGCTGACCTGTAATCACACAGTATACAAATAGCTAGAGATCGAGATTGAAGATCAGAGACGGGTGGAGAGAGATGAAAAGAGAGGGATCAGAAGCACAACAAGCACAAGGTGGTGGGTGGTACGGGACACCCTTCTTATGTTGGACAAAAAAGTGTTTCTCTTGAACTTGAATACGTGTTCTTTCAGCGGTGGAGAGAACTTTCTGCTCAAGAAAATAATAAACAGAACTTCCTCTGGAGTCTGGTCAAGTTGTCGAAATGCTGGAGTTTGGACAAGTTACGAGGAACCTCCAGCTTTGTGCCATCCGAGAGAAGGCTCCATTGTCAATTTCTCTCTACGGGAAACGTGTCAAGATGAGCTATGTCGGTTTGCAACGTGGAGCCTCCAGTTGGGCCTTGCTTTGTGGGTTTTTACTATGTAACTGGGCCCCAACCTTCATTGCTGGGCCGTGACATGGCCAACAGTTTGGCACGCCCAATACTTGAGGCAGGAGATTAGCCAGTTGGCTTTGTTCTGATCTTTCTGAGGTGGTGGGTCGGATCTCAGATGTGATGAAAATCAGATTAACCAGTTTTGCATATTCTAGACGAAGGATGTTAGATATTGTTAGGGCGGCCTGACTGATGAATACTCTTCAATGGATCATTAGGTCTTCTGTGGTGCTTAGGGTTTCCATTGGTTTCTGCTGGAGAATTCTCTGTCAAGCTATGAACTTAGCGTGTGGTACAGGCAACAGCCAACATGCATGAATTGCTGAGCAGGAGGAGTTCAAATCCCTCACTGTAAGCTCTTTTTCAGGGAAATTTTCATATATCAGAAAGCTGGAAGTACTTTGACATTTATTTATTTTTCGTTTCCAGAAGTACTTTGACATTTAGGTTAATAGAAGAGTACACCTGTTAGCTGTTACATTGTTCTTTCCTTTATGGGGTTTGACCCTCTGGTTCTGATTTTATACTAAACAAGATGTGGTATTACAGCTTTAAGGGTTTGTATTAATCGAAAATAAAAGTGTGTAAGTATGTTGGAATGAACACCATTAAAAGCCCCAAACAGCCAAAAAAGAAGACTACAAAAGACATCCTTGAAAATAATCAACCATCCTATGAGGTTTTCAATAATTTGATTCACCTCTTCTTGAGACTGTTTTTGATAAAATATCCTCCTATTCCTATTCCTTTCACCCCAAATAGCCCAAATCGCAACCAAGAGAATAGCTGACCATAGAATCCGCCCTTCTTAAATTCTGATTGCAATGGTTGTGTTTGGTTGCAATGTAAATCTATTTGAAATGATGCAAAATTATGATAATACAAATCGTTTGAGTTTAAATTCTGATTTATTCTTATTTCAAAGTTTACCTTATTTTGTTTAATTACAGTATGAATGAAGCAAAATAAAGTAAAACCCAAAATCAAATTAAACCAAAATTTGTATTCTTTTCAACTGCAACCTACAGACAAGATTTAGGCAAACAGCCTTTCCTACCAACATATCCTTGTAAGTCATTTCTCTTCGGCTGTTTGGTTTGAAGGAAAAAATAGGAAAAGGTGAGGAAACCTTTAAAAACCTTATATAGGTTTCTTACCTGCCTTACCTTTTCCTTCAAACCAAACATAGCCTAGGAGAAAATTTTATTTTTTGATGGATCAATTCCACCCCGAATGGTTTTACTAGGAAAACAATTGGTGGATTTCGACCAGAAGCCATTATAAAATGATTTGACTGAGAAGGAACCAGACTTAGACCATAATCATACCCGTTGATAAAAGAAAAAAAGAAATGAGTCTAATTTTCTATCAAACTAAACATAGTTGAATGGTCCATAAAAATAAAACCATCTCAAGAATCATCTTTGCTTCTAAGTAGGTATTTGGAACCAATGTTGTTTCTTCAAAAATGGCTCCACATCAGTGCCATATCTGAAATCCGTTTTTTCAGAAAATGCTTGATGTTTGGCTATGCATTTTTCCGAAAAACATTTTCTTACATCACACCTTAGAAATTGGAAATGGTGTGATCTGAGAAAACAACACCCTTCTTGGTGTTTTCTTGTTTTTTCTACTGTTGCTAGCAATACTAGATTAACATGGCATTCAAAAATGCTTATGTGGCAGGCTGGCAGCAACAGAAATGGTTTCAAATAGGAAAAGAAAAAAAAAACGTTTTCTGAAAATGTTCATATTCCACCTAAATGTTCATATTCGATAGAATATAAATTATTTTAAAATATCACTATATGTTACTGTTACTTCAGCTTATTAGCCAATGTCTATATATAATTTGTTATGATTCTTGCTAGGACTTTTTTAATATTTATGGGGCAAAGTATTTTGGATAAAATAGTATTGATTTATGAAAATTGATTTCTTGCCTCTTCAAATTCTTCAAAATGTTGAAATTTTTATTACATGTTTTAAATGAAGCTTGTTGGCATATGCATACTAGAAGAAGAGTAAGGAGTGACAAAGATAAATCACCTTCGTCTTTCCAAACAACCCTTAATAGATATTGTATACAATTCATTAAATTTGAGCTACTTATAGGCAATGCCTAGCTTTCTTGAAAGAGAAAAATTACAAAAATGAATAAAACAGGACTTCTTAAATAAACTTTGACTCAAAATGTGCTAAAACGGTAAAGATATAAAATTTACTATAAAAAATAAATCTTTTTAGAAAAACCTACTTTTAAAGGCCAATAGGAAAGATTTGGAGATAGAAAATAGTAAATGAATCCATTGAATTATATTACTATTTACCAGTTAGTGCAAAGTTTTCATCAAGACGGTTGTAAATTTACATGTCGAAAATGGACCTTCGGATTAAAAGTTGTGGCCATTTAAAGTTTCAGCTATTGCTTTGGCCTCTTCTTTTCTTTTCAGTCTTGGGTTTTCTAGATCAGTTGTCCATAAATTAGTCAATCATTTGCAAATTGAAGAATGTGAATTGTAGGGTTACGTTAGGCCAATTTGAATTCACATCAGCGTCCCACATGCACATCTCAACGTGTATTGGAAATATCTATTGTAGTTGTCATTAGGAGTGCAGATGAATTCAGCCAATTTATTCTCAATTTTTAGTTTTGCTTGCCCATTTTCATAGGAAATTGGATTTGATTCTCACAAAACTGTTCTCATACCATCTTTATAGCCTTTTACAGCCGATTGGGAGTATCTCTGCATGAATAAAAAAATACAGTTTTGTGAGGACCAAATATGGATTCTTTAGTAGATGATTCAAACTCAACAACTAATAAGCAAGGTTTTTAAAATCGGCCCGGAGAACAAACTGGTCAAGGGTCCAGTTCTCGGGTTGAATGGTCCGACCGTTTCGAACTAAACGCTCGGCCCGTTCTGACAAAAATAATAACAAAATAAAAAAAAAAATCAAAACCGTTCGAACAGTTAACCACCTAGGTCAGCGGTTTGCTGACCAAAATCAACGGTTTTTGGGAAAAATAGAACCAATCACCTGACCGGTTCCCGATTTTTCTAGTACAACTGTCAGATCTAGTCCAGTTTTGAAAACCATGCTAATAAGTCACCCACCTTTTATCCTACACCCATAGTTTTGCTTTAAATATCTCCATACAACTCCATTTACTCATACTTACTAAAAGGTTGTGATGCATTCTATGATCCAACCTACTTGTTTCTCTATAAAACTAGTAAGTATGCATGTGGTCATTTTTTATGATGATGATATATTGTCCCAATTATTATTGGTTTGAAACCAGTTCTATCCGGTCCTGAACCAACTTAGACCGGATTTGAGGTATATATATATATAAATAATATACTATAATATATAATATTAAATAACATAGTATAATATTTTCAGCAAGTTTATTATAATTGAGTCCATTGGGTAAGACTTGATTATCCCGAGAACCAATCGGTTTGGTTCTGGGTCTAAAATTATAACCCTAAACCCTATTGGGTCTTGTTTGTTTCTAGGTCCTTAGCACTTCTTGTTAGGTCAGTTATGATTCTATCTAGACTAGACTTAGATTTGACTCGTTGATAGCCATAATAAAAGTTATTCTTATTTGTCATACTTATTTTTGTTTAATATGATGAATATATGATATTAGGTATGCACCCAAATGTTTTCTACATTTTATTTTTTATTTTTTTATACTTTTATGTGTTTTCATCTTTTTTATTTTTTATTATTATTTAACTATGACATCAAGGGCTTATCACATTTTGACCAAAAAAGGTTAAATTGTTGGCTTGATGCCAAACATGAAAACAATTCCATTTTTTTGTTGGTTTTAATTTGTATTCTATTTTTGCATCATTTACTTGAACACCCCTCATAATTTTACATATTTACTAAAACGTACCCTCTAGTTTGTGTTTTACTAAAACACTCCTATAGTTTGCAATTACTTTACTTATTCAACCCTTCATTAGGAACCTTTTGTATTTCTATTTGGGAATGGCCACTTGACCTCTTAAAGCGAGTGTAAATGTGGAAGGGAATGGATCCAATGTTTTTTTTCCAAAAATGCCCCTAAAATTTCTCATATCACATGTAGCTTATCCCTTTTCCAAACAAAGTTATAATGTGGGGAAAGGGTTTATTTGTTTTCTAAAAGGTTGATAAGAGAACTATTAGGACTATTCTTGGAATAAAAACCTTGGACCAATTACCCTTCTAAGTTCTTGATGAAGGGTCAATTAATTACAACATATACAAACTATAGGGGTGTTCTAGTAGTACACAAAATAGAGGGTAGGTTTTAGTAAATATGTGCAACTATAGAGGGCGTCTAAGTAAATAACCCTTATTTTTATCATCAATAAAAAACAATTATTCTTTACCATACTTATTTTTTCTTTAATATGATTAATTAATATAGAATTCAATGAAAGAATGAGAATTAATAGCTTAAATATAAGACTAATGAGAGATTTTGAATAAGGAGAAAAGTAGTAGTTCAAATTATATTTAGGGCGGGGCCAAATTAAAAAACAGAGGTATTCTAATTAAGAGTAAGTTCAATAAAGGTTAAAGAGAATTAATACATTAAATATAAGACTTAATTGGAGGGTTCTAAATTAGAAGAAAAGTGATTATTCAAATTACGTTTATGTTTTTACAATTAAAGAGAGAGTAAATAGAAAAAATTGGAGTATTTTTTTAACCAAAAAGTTGAATACTCTTAGGCTCTCATTCACATTTTTAATAATAATATAGATACAAACAAATTTCGTAAGGGATGTGATGAGAGAGGGTTTGGCCCTCCAATGACACAGTGACACGTGGCATCTCAGAACAAATAGGTGACACCTGTAACCACTTTGGCAACAACTCGCCTTAGCCAAGTTGATGGTGTCCCACCAAAGGCGTGGCTTGACATTGACGCGACCTAGTGGCCTGGCCCTGGTGTGTCCTGGCCCAGGCGCGACCTAGCAGCCTGGCATAGGCACCGACCTGGCGACCTGCGATACGTGCTCCCGACAAATTCGACATGCATATCCTAACACTCCCACGATCTTTGAAAGTTGCCCACGCGCCGAACGATCTGGAGGGTGGTCAACGTGCATGGCGGTTACCTCCAGGAATCTCGGACCAGTTAGACACGACTTCTCGGAGATCTCAGGGCGGTACGTGAGCAAGGCCTTATATAAAGAAACCAACCCCAATGACAGCAAGCGAGCAAGCAAGCAAGTAAGCAAGTTCTAGCTCTCAGACTTTGTGATTTTTAGCTCGCAGTCTACTATGAGAGTATTGACTTAAGCATCGGAGTGACCTCGCCGGGTTAGCCACCCCGAGTCCTCTGACATTTGGTTCTTTGCAAGTCTCTAAAGAGCAATGAAGCTCATCAATTTAGCTCGCCACCTGGTCAGTCCAACACCTCACAGGCAGCTTGGCAACTCACAGGCAACCCTACAACTGGTCAGCCCGGCACCTCACAGGCAGCTCGGCACCTCACGGGCAGCTTGGCACCTCACAGGCAATTCGACACCTAGGCAGCTCCACTTCGGCATCTGAGTCATCGGCCACTTGGAAGCAAACCAAATGATGAGGTACTTATCCAAAAAATCGATACTAAACCCAAAATTGATTCTTCAATTGGCGCCGTTTATGGGAAACGCTACAAAAAGCTAAGTTCTCATCCTCCGAAAGGATAAGTCTCTTCTTCCAGAAAGCTAAATTCTACTAATAGCTCTCACTTTCTAGTTTCCATTTTTTATGAACTCGAAGATTATGCAGGAAGTTGATGGCCAACAGACTAAGCAGCTCTACCAACTTTATTTCAACAGATAAAGCCTCATCAGTCCTCTTCGCGAGGTACCCTCTACAAAGATGAGCTCTTCGCGGCTTCCGCGAGAGTAGGCGGCCAACAGACTGCATGTACGCCTTTGCCGGTCGAGCCTTCCAAGGCTCCCGAGTGAGTTGGTGACCTAAAGTCTATAGTGCTGCCCCCGTAGGTCGAGCTCCTAGTAGCTTCTTGTAGGAGTGGGTAACCGATGTCACTAATGAGGCTGATGCAGCGTGGCCTGGCCCAGGCGCGAATTGAAGAACTGATAAAAGACCTTGGCACTACGATAAGTCCTAGTCGCCTCCTCGGCATGGGCATACAAGTCCGAGTCGCCTCTCCGGCATGGGCAAAATCAAAGATCAAGGAGAGTGGACTACGAGTCGCTCCCACAGCCTAAGGGCTAAAATACCACATAAGACTCAGTTGCCTCTTCGGCATGGGCAAGATCAAGGAGAGTGGACTACGAGTCGGTCCTAGAGCCTAAGGGCCAAAATAGCAAACTAGCGAAAACCTCCTCACATATAAGACCCAATCGCATCTTTGGCATGGGCAAAATCAAGGAGCGGACTACGAGTTGCTCTAGAGCCTAAGGAATTGAATTGACGCTTATGAGCTCATCGAATTATTCATTTCGGGCCAAAAGGAGAAATCTACTCCCTTCGCCGAGTTACTTTTGGCTCGGGAGTGGGGGGGGGGCAAATGATGAGGGTGGATTTGGCCTCCAATGACACCGTGACACATGGCATCTCGGAACAACTAGGTGACACCTAAAACCACTTTGGCAACAACTTGCCTTAGCCAAGTTGATGGTGTTCCACCACAGGTGTGGCCTGGCATTGGCGCGACCTGGCGGCCTGGCCCAGGTGCGACCTGCCAGCCTGGCACAGGCATTGACCTGGCGACCTGCGAGATGCGCTCGCCGACAAATTCAACATGCATATCCTAACACTCTCACGATCTTTGGAAGTTGGCCCACGCGTCGAACGATCTGGAGGGTGGTCAACATGCATGGCGGTTTCCTTCAGGAATCTCAGATCTGTTAGACACGACATCCCGGAGATCTCGGGGGCGGTACGTGAACAAGGCCTATATAAAGGCACCAACCCCAATGACAGCAAGTAAGCAAGCAAGCAAGTAAGCAAGTTCTAGCTCTCAGACATTTGTGATTTTTAGCTCGCAGTCTACTATGAGAGTACTGACTTAAGAATCGGAGCGACCTCGTCGGGTTAGCCACCTCGGGTCCTCTGACATTTGGTTCCTTGCAGGTCYTTAAAAAGCAATGAAACTCGTCAATTCAGCTTGCCACCTGATCAGCCCAGTACCTCACAGGTAGCTCGGCACCTCACAGGCAGCCCTACGTCTGGTCAGCTTGACGCTTCACAGGCAGGTCGACACCTCACGGGCAGCTCGAAACCTCATAGTCAGCTCAGCACCTAGGTAACTACACTTTGACCACTAAATCATTGGTCACTTGAAAGGATAGCAAATAACGATTTAGTTAGCCAAAAAAATCGATACTTAACCAAAAATTGATTCTTCACGATGGTTCAATAAAATATCACTCAAAATTCAATATTGTAAGAAGATTCTTTTCATTAGTATCAAGATATTAATTCCTATTTTCCCTTCTATTGAAACTTTTCATGTGCTATAAAATATGACATGCTGCAAACTCTGACAATTATTCTAGCTATGATCTCGTACCAGAGACACTCATTAGATCAGGTTTGTCTTCTAAATCCTACAAACGAAACCCTCCCATTTTCCAATCATGGCGCTCTGCAATTCAAGCAATTCCCACTTCCATTATTCAAACAGATTTCATTCACCACTTATTTCTCCATTTCCTTGTCTATCGCTTGTCCATTCGCAAGTCGTAACCGACTCCATTTGTTTATCGTAGGAGCCAATGTCAACTTTGTAACTAATTCCCACCCTTAACTCTCGCGTCTCGCCTATTCCTCCTTTAAATTCCCCAACACCATTGTGGATGCTTGTGTGGCCTTCCCTCGTCGTCCTCCCACCGGACGGCGAGTGGGCTTCACCGGCACCACCAACACCACTTCCACTTCCACCTCCACCTCCACCTCCACCTCCACCACTTCCATCGACACATCTAGCTCAGCAACCACCAGAAACAGAAACCATAACCCCCGTCCCGTCCCGATATGTCTGAGACCGATCTGGTCCCTTTCCAACTCCTCGAGATCAATGTCATCTCTGCCCAAGACCTGGCCCCTGTAACCCGTTCCATGCACACCTACGCGGTTGCTTGGGTCGACCCTGAACGAAAGCTCTCAACCTGCGTCGACACCCACGGCCACGTCGACCCCACATGGAACGACAAGTTCGTCTTCCGCGTTGATGACGAGTTCCTCCACTCCGACACCTCCGCCGTTATGATCAAGATCTTTGCTCTCCGTCCCTTCCGCGACGTCCATGTCGGAACTGTCCGTGTCCTCGTCGGCAATCTTTTCCCTCTGTCATCCCTCCGATCCCACCAGCGCTCCGGGATGCGCTTCGTCGCTCTCCAGGTCCGTCGTCCTTCGGGTCGTCCACAGGGCATCCTTAACATCGGCGCTGCCCTGCTCGACAAATCCATGAGAAGCATGCCGCTCTACTCGCAACCCAACTCCTCCGCCCTTGGATACCGTCATCTGATGGGTGAAGACATACGTTCTCCATATCGCCACTACCTCTCACGGCAGAAGTTCCAGCACAGCCTCTCCAGTATCAGTAGAGAGAAAATCATCAAACCCATCAACGACGACATGTCCGAAAAGGCCGTCTCTGTCGTCAAGGTCCCCGATCTCGTGATCGCAATCCCACCTAAGGTAAGAGTATCAGACGAGTCGGTCTATTCGGAATCCGATGTGTGTCCAACACCCTCGGTTAGGGAAGCTTCTATAGCAGCAGCTGATTATTTTCCGGCGCCGGAGACGGAAAACTATGCACCAGAACATTGGAACGACGATGATAGCAGCGTGGAAGGGTTGAGTTCGAAGCTTGAGAGGTGGCGTGCGGAGCTTCCGCCCACATTTCATCGGGGCGGGTACGGGTCATTGAAACCACGAAGCAGCAGACATGCGAGGAGGCATAGTGATGGTGATGTCGGAGAAGAAGAAGAAGAATTGAGTGGGTTCGGGTCCTTCGAACCGCCAAGCAGCAATAGCAAACATGCGAGGAGGCATACTGATGGTGGAGAAGTATTGGGTGGGTTCGGGTTCGGGTCGTTCGAATCGCCAAGCAAAAATAGCGAAGATTCGAGGAGGCATTCTGATGGTGGAGGAGGATTGCTCTCGTGCTTCGGCGGAACATATGGGTGTCAGTGCTCTATCTTTTGTGGGGCCAGCCGTCTCAAGAAGAAGATGAACAGGGAGAAGGTTCCTCTGAGCAGCCCGTCTCATTGTAACGTGAGCCGGTAGTGTGTTATAGCTTCAGCTGAATTAGTAGAGGAAATGGAGCCATGGTTTGCGGTTTGCGGAGGGTAGGAGACTAGAAGAGAAGCGAGAAGAATTTGCTACACCTGTTGGCTGTTGCCTGTTGGTGTAGCCTTGTGCTGAAACCGTGAAATGGATCCAATGACGAAGTTCCACGTATCGAATTCGTATGTATAGTTGAGGTGGTGCAAATGTTCAATACAATACGATACATCAAAAGCCGTGATTTCACGGTTTTAATCCATGGCTACGCCAAGGGGCGTAGGGGATTTCAATTCTGTAAGTGGATTTGGGACAGGTTTGGTTAATATGCGCGGTCGGGTGGTTGCTCTGAGTGTGGATTAGAAATCTCACCTTTTTTTTTTTATTTCTTTTATTCTTTTCTTTATCTGTTTTTCATTTTGGGTGTAAGAGAAAAGAAAAAAGAAATAAAAAGAGAAAGGAGTGATTAATATTGAATAAACAAAACAGCAGTGTAGATTAATACTATTTTTAACTAATTGACCCAAATAATGTGGTTGGGATGGTGATCATGGGCCCGGCCGGGTTCCAAGCCTATGTTTATAACTTGGGTCCAACCCCGGCCTTGAAATGATCACCCTTCGGCAGGGGTTAGGGGTGTATTCCGGTTGAAAATTTGAATAGATCCGGTTAGAAAAGCTGGGCTTGACAGAATATAAAATTAAATTTTCAACTCGGGTACACTGTTAGTAGGAGCAAATTGGGCTTGTTCGGGTTGAGAATTTGTTAAAATTTGAATGGACCTGACCTAAAAGCCCAAATCCGATGCAATGTAAAATTTTCAAATCCTGTATGTCTTTGTGGAGAATGTTCTTAAAATGCGTTTGACTGTAATACCAGAAAAAATTGTGACCAATCAATCAGAGAGGGCAAGGGAGGATTGTTCAAAGCCCTTCTTGTATTATGTCTTTCCGGCCGGCAGCAGCATATTGGTTTGCTCTTTTAAAACCACTTCTATTAAAAAAAGGTCCGACCATGATATGGGGAAAACTTATTACCAATCAAGTGGAACATAAAAATGGTAACCAATAAGATTCAAACCGGATTGGATGGTTGAACCAGTGGTTCATGACCTTTTAAGTGGTAAAATTAAAACTGGTGACTCTATGAGCATTCCTGCAAGCTCATTTGGTATTTGCTGCCCTCACTCTTTCTAGCTATATATCAATCACGACTCACGAGTGAATGTGCTAATATTCTGTGTATATATGAGGCCTATTTGTCAGTGTATGAACTCAGGCATCTTCACTTGATTGATTACAGGAAGTGATACGCAGCCATGTGAGCATGTTACTACAATTGACAACGTTTGATGTATACCTTTGATTACACTTTTCTAGGCAGAGATTCTAAATTTCAAGAATCTTTTCTCTCCCTCCTTTTGTTTTAGTTTTGTCTTTTATCTTTTTCCCTTCTTTTGCATGTTGTTGGAGACTTTTGTCCCATATTGTTTGGGAAAAGAATTGGCTTAGAGTATATTATTACGAGTTTAGGATTGTTCTTCTTATGGGTAACGACTCATAGGAGGAGAGTAATATATATCTCTACATGGATGTGAGAGAGGTTGGGGGTGCTTTTCATACACTTGTGCACCAGGGCAGGCTAGGTCGGGACAAGGTGCGTGTGTGCGTGTGTATGTGTGCTACATCGAAACATGTTTAAATTGTTTTGACTTTGTTTCTGTCTTCTTCTACTTATTCATTCTGTGTTTGTGTCTCTTTGAACAAGTGCCTTGTTGCACTGTTCTAGAGAGACACTTCTCTTTGAAAGGACACATTTGTGTCCACTAGGGTCACTGAGAACACTATAAATAGAGTGGTGGTTGACCCAATGTTACACACCAACTAATTTGAAGTTCTCTGTTTGTATTCTTTCCTGAATATTCTCTTTTGTGGTTCGCGGAGGTCTGGTAAGTGAGTGCACGTTTAATAGTGGCCTGTGGGTTGTTTTATCTTGACGAYCGATTTGCAATCACCCGGCTACACCGTAGGGTAAATGCGGTTTTAAGGAGAGTGACCAAGTGGCACGACTCAACCCTCCATTTCTCTGCAATTCTCAGTCCCATCTTCACAGTTATGCAACACTACCAAAGTTGGTTTGGAAATTGTTCACTGATAAATTCCGTTTGCCCTATTTATTATTATTTTCCAACATAATTTTATGGGAAAATTCTCGATTAGTGCCTGTACTTTGTGCCTAGTGTCACTTTGGTCCCCAAACTTTAAAATACGACAACTCAGTACCTAAACATTCAAAACGTGACAATCCAGTACTTGCCATTAATTAACTGTTAACCTGCTGTTAATTGACATTTGAAGAAGACACAAATGCCCTTCAAGTGTCATTTAATTTCTTTGTCAACCATCTAAACATTGACAAAAAAAATAAAAGTTCCAAATCCTTGCTTCTTCCATTCAAGAAAGTTGGGGTTACGTTTGAGTGGGCATTTTGGTGACCCCAACTTTCTTGAATAGAACAAGTAAGGATTTGAGACTATTAATTTTTTTGGTCAATATTTGCATAATTGATAAAGAAAATTAGATGACACTCAAACGACATTTGTGTTTTTTTAAAATGTTACTTAACGACAAATACTGGATTGTCATACTTTGAAAATTTGGGTACTGAATTGTCGCATTTTAAAGTTTGGAGACCAAAATGGCACTAGACCCAAAGTACAAGTACTAATCGGGAATTTCCCCTAATTTTATTTGCATAGGAGTTAAAATGAGTTTAATGTAAATTCTGATTTATCTTTGATTTAAATTTTATTTATTTATTTGCAAAGTAAATGAATCAAAATAAAACACAAAGCAAAGTAATGTTTAAAATTAAAACAATAAAGAATCAATAACATTGCATTTCAAATATATTTGTTCCACATTAAATCAAAATTTCAACATAAAATGTATTTATTTTTCATTGATTCATATTTATGTGTACTTGCCATTAAAAATTTTAACAACGTTAAAGATTCATCTCTAACGTGTCACTTTATCACTGGTTGAAATCAATTCTGCAGTGAAGATTAGAGGCAAGGTCTAGCCTCTGAGCCAAGCCCAAGGACAATGGGCTTTATTAGGGCTACAAAATTGTGCCGGTACTGGGCCAAATAATCATGTAGACGTTCCTGTAACTGTAAGTTTAACCTGCTGGAGTTACATTGCATGATTGAACCATTGTCCGAGCCTGGTCTATTTGGATTAAGCCCGGTTTATGTATAAAGATGCACAAAATATGTCTACATGTTTACATATACAACACTTACAGAAGACTGGATTGGGGTCTAAACATTCAAACCGGGTGGTTAATTGGGAAACAATTTAGTTTTTTGTCTGGTCCGATCCGGCGACATTTGTTAAACTAATCAATTGAATTTTTTGGTATTAGGTCATTTTCTTTAGTAAATTCAGTTTTTGGATCATCCTGTTAGGCCTAGTTGTGTTTTGGGTCAGATATGCCCAACAAAGCTGAGCCTTAGAGAGAGAGAGAATTGGGCCCAGAACTGTTTCTCAATTATTTAGTCACACTTTTGTCCATAGTTGATGAAAAACGTCAGGGTGTGGGCGTGGGCCTCCGAAAAGTTAAAAGTTTATGGTCCGCTCCAAAACCATCCCTTACGACAAGGCCTTCTTTGTTTGCAAGGACACGAATGACATTGACATGGATAGGCAATTGTACAGTGAAGGGTCGTCCACGGCACCAAATTTAATTGGTTGGTGACAAATAGGTGAATCTGCCTTAAAAAAGGTAAATTATAAAGACCCCCCGTATTAAAATGAAAAATTTGCCGTTATAATATTTTTTATCCCTATACTACCCTTGTAAGACAACTTTAACCTCTTTTCGTCTTTTATACGTTTTCTCACCTTATTTTCTCCCTTGCAATCATCATCATGTCACAAGAACCCATCTTTCCTCCCGGCGGCCACCAACACCGGACTGAACACCCCGCCGAACACCAGCGCCTGCCTAACCATCGACAATGCCGAGTTCCTCATACTCGTCGGGAGCAACTCCAGTGTGTATATCAGCAACGCGCTGAACATCGTGCACACGCTAAATAAGCTCACCAGCTCCACCGCCACTTGCAATTCCTGCCGTGACTCACCCACCACCACGCACATTATACTGCAAATCCCACTTATAGTCGTGAACACCAGCAGCCAACTTCTCCTGTTCACTTTTCTGATAAGAAAGAACGTCAGCAATGACGATGGCAGCTCTGATAATGCGTTGAAGGTGAACGCTCAAGTAGAGACTGAAGGCCAGGTTTCTGACCCCCAAAGGCATCCCGTAGTACACCATCCGATGCCAAAACCGACGGTCATCGCTGCCATTAACCGTCGAAAGGCCCATTTTTTCTCGACCAATGCCTTGATAGCAGAGTAGAGATTACCGGCGAACGTCTCCGGTACAATGGATATGCCGGAGAAGCTCACGCTTAACCTGAAGCTACTTTGATTCCTCGTGGTTATGGTTCTTAATGTCTTGATTGCTTCGTCTTTGCGTTCTTTCACCAGGAGCCATCTCGGTGATTCGCGCACTGCGAAGTGGATGATTATACAGTAAAGATGGCTGGCACGGACATCCACAGATAGAGGGTCCGCCATGAAGACTCTCGGTTGATGTAAGCCATGGCCGGTAACGACAAGAAAATAAATATGAATAACAAGAATCCGATGATACCCACCTTGCCTCGCCACCTGATGAAGGGGAATTTGGCCCGACCTCGCAATTACCCGACACGTGGCAAAAACAAGCAGCTCGGGACAGTAGAGCGCCCGAAGCAAACACCGAAGGCAAAGTCCAAGC